ATGTCGGCTGGCTTGTTAGAGGTATATGCACACGGAAGTTCCTCGTCTTTTTTTTACAAGGAGTGCAGTGAGAACGACACACTCAAGTGTGTGGGGAGATGACATCGGGGGGAGGGGAGAGGGTGACTTTTAGGGCTGCAGATTAACGCAAGAACCCTCCGGCCGCGAATCAATAAGGCTGTTGGCGTTTTTCCGGAATGGTGGCCGCGGACCCGGTCCATAGTACTTCTCGGCAATAAAGTATCGCACCTCCAGCTAAATGGGCAGAGGACAGAAAAAAACAAACCAATTACAGGGCTGATTATATGTTTAAAAATGCAGGACTTTATGACTATTAGTAAGCATCCGTCGGGCTGATATCGCGCTCCGCTCCTTCAAAAAAAGCCCCAATTATGAAGTAGAGGAACAGGTAAGGTTACCCTGGGAGATAACGTTTCAGATGAGAGGAGAAAGACTTTGGAGGGGAGGGGGACCGAAAATAATGAAAAACTGATTACTACTTGTGGCAATTCATACGGAATGGCATGTTGGCTTTCTATCGGGAATTAATCCAGACGAAGTAGCAAAATCACCGGCTTCCGATGCATATCGAAGAAACTGGTTGGATAGAAAATGGACAATCGGCCCACCTCCTATACTCGCCGCGTAGAAAACCGAAACCGGCGGGTCACGAAGGTGAATGCTTTCGCATGAAAAAAACCTGTTCAGATGGACACCTTTTAGAAGCCTGTCCGAGGTTGATTAGCACTGCCCACAGCTACAGTTTGCGCAAATAAACATCCACGACACTCTGCCACCCGGCGGTAGAGACTGGCGGTGTCTTCTAATTTCTGCCTAAATGTCAGATATATAGTAGATGTGCTAACCCATGAAATGTCAACCAAAATTTCGAAATGCGTTCTCGTTTCGAAAAGATAAATTAAGTAGTGTTGTAAAACTAATCATGATGCAGCATAGATCTATAATGATCCAGTTACCTCGGGGTGTCGGCTTTCGAAATAACTTATTTGCGACTGCATGCAAGATCTATACTCTGCAAAAAATGACTACTTAAGTAGTATGCAATTTTCTCATTGATTTTTGATGCCCTTGAAAATTCAATTATATTTCAAGAAAAACATGCATAAAAGTACTCATTCTTTTACTTATTCGGTAGAAAATCACGTCTTCTTCCAATTTCATACTCAAAAGAAGAGTATAATTCGGTTTAAAAAAGAACTTTTCTAATTCCCGAATAATTTTGAACCCGACCGGCTGTTACACTTGCATTCAGGGTTCCAAAACTACAAGCTGTATATTTTCCGTGTACGGAAAACCATGCATTTCTCTACGGTGTTAAGAGGAGACCATATGAGGTTCCTAAAATTAAGCAGTGGATTTGAGCAATATTGTTAACTTTACAAGCCACATTCGTAAATGCAGATACATGACGTTTCATGAACGGACATTTAACGGTATTAAAAAATCTCACAATTAGACACTTTTTTAAAACCGAATTATACTTTTCTTTTGAGTATGAAATTGGAAGAAGGCGTGATTTTCTACCGAATAAGTAAAAGAATGAATATTTTTACGCATGGTTTCCATGAAATATAATTGAATTTTCAAGGGTATCGAAAATCAATGAGAAAATTGCGTACTACATAAGTAGTCATTTTTTGCAGAGTATAGATCTTGCATGCAGCCGAAAATAAGTTCTTTCGAAAGCCGACACCCTGAAGTAACTGGATCATTATAGATTTATGCTGCATCATGATTACTTTTACAACACTACTTGATTTATCTTTTCGAAACGAGAACGCATTTCGAAATTTTGGTTGATATTTCATGAGTTAGCACATCTACTGTAAGTTAATACAAATGGCCATTTTTAAGTTGCTGATGGCATGGCTTAGCAAACGGAATGTGCATTTCTGGACAAACTAGGGCATCTGCAATCGCGGTCGTGCTGTAGACAGACGAAATAAACGTAATGGTTGAGGGCCACTTACAAAGGTATATACAGTAAAAATGGAATTTTCTGAGGTGAGTCTTCAGTGTTTCCGACGAAGATGATCAATGTACGAGGCATAAATAAACACTGGAAGCATGCCATGGTCCACGGTTAGGAGTACAACAAAACCTATACACGTCATTTTGCCAATGTGACAATTTCAAGAACTTAGGACAAGGAAGCGGGAGGCTCTAAAACTACTTTTATTTGGTGCAGTTGTGGTCATGTCTGATCTAGCCGCCCCCCCCCCCCTCCCTCCATGATGTCACAGATTGTAGCTCTCCACGCGCGACTATTTGCGGCAGCGAACCAGGACAGCTTGGCCCTTTCTCGCCTCCGACAACGGAGGCCAAACACCAGAAGGTCCAAAAAACCACTTCCATGTCTTGAAGAATTGTGTCGAGATATGTTTTGGGTTGATTACATGCAAATGCCGATGGGGTACTAAGACTTTCCCACGTCGAAAACCTCGTTTGTAAAGGCGGCCAACATCGCCTAGAAAATTGCCAAAACAGCCACCAAAGGTTTGGAAGCTCTCATCAGAGCGAAAAATGATACGGCTCATCACTCATTAGGCAAGGCTGTCAGGCCTGACCTGAACGGTTGCCTGGTGGAGGGCATCAAATCCAAGCCAGTGGCCATTCTCTTCCCCCCCCCCAACCCCACCCCCGGACAGCCGCCATCCAACGTGTTTCAGTGTGGAGATAGCTTAGATTGAGGTCAGGGCAGAGAAAAGCCTGCCGGGG